GGCATTCCAGGCAGAGGGAACAACATGTGCAAAGGCTGTGAGGTCAGAAAGATCATAGCAGGTGAAAGTAGCTAGCTGACAGGAGCAGAAGCTTAGGGGTAAGAGGAGCACATAGGCTAGAGAGGGGTGTGTGGCATGAGGGCACACCTCACCTCAGAGGGCTTAGCAGCTGCGATAAGGCATATGGTCTTCATTCTAGAAGCAATGGAGGTCGAGGAGAAGATTGGAGTGTTTTAAAATAATAGGATCTGGTTTACTCTGAAGATACCCCTCTGGCCACCATGCATGCAGACTGCTTATTACATGAGAATAAAAGAGGTGCCAGGACAATAGCAAGGGGCTCCTAAAGCCACCCAGGCATGAGATGGCAGAAGTTTGGACAAGGGTATGTTGAGGCAGAAGAGGAAACATGCATCAATCAGGCCAGGGCCAGGGCCTATCCTCCGTTTTCTCCTGCCCCTGCCACCAGAATGGGCTGCCGTGCCATCCCTAAGCGGGGCTCCTGCACGGGGAATGGAGACAGAGCTGCCAAGCCCTGTGCTTGCTGTCCAGCAGGGGTTCCAAAACAGAGTGTTCTTCCTCACCATCGTTATCATGTATTGGGGCAGCTCACCCTCCACCCACATCAGTGGTCTGAGTTGCGGAGGAGGCTATGGGTGCATCTCACTCACATCTGCCCATATCAGCCACCACAGTTCCGTCAAGATGGCCCTAGACTCATCCCCAGCCCTGCCCCTGGCCTGGCCCAGATGGTGGGCCTAGAGAAAATACCAGCCCCTGAGGACAGCTCCAGGGGGGGAGTGTTTTCTTGGCACAGAACCGAGAGGAAGAGGGGTGGTCTCCTGGCTGCTGGAGACAGACGCCCCCATTTTCCTCTCGACCTCCTGCTGAGCCTCTTTTCACCCACCAACATCAGCGGACCCCATGTTCATACCACAAGTGGCTCATGTGACTAAGACAGTGGCCACAGTGACTGGTGGGGCCACTGGCTCACATTCAGCCAGAGACAAGGGTGATGACTGACATGCTGTTGCTCCCCTGAAAATCATCCCTCATTCTGACCCTGGAGCCCAGGACAGGGAGTGGCACCAAGTAGCCCAGGGTAGAAAGGCCATATCAGAGCCAAGGATCTGATATGGACCCCAGGCCTAGGGTGCAGCAGCCACTGCCATGTCTTATAAGGGCCCAAGGCAGCAAGAGTGTGCCAGGCCTGGGCCTAAGGAGGTCATTGTCAGGACAACTGGTGGGGACCTGGCAGACAGCACTGTGACCAGGAGCATGTAACAGTCATTACTGAGGAGCCTCACATTCCCGGAGAAGACGGGGGGACAGGGCACCCCAGTCTGCTTCTGTCTGGCTCGACTAGGTTAGGAGCTGAGCAGGCAGCTGGCCTGCAGATGGGCTTTCATCCCTGCCCATCCCCACCCCTCCCAGCCGGGTAAACACAGAACTAGGGCATCAAGGGCCTGGAGGAGTGAAGGGGCCCATTGAGTGGGCGTGCCCTGAGGCATGGGCCAGGTCTGTGGATGGGATCTGTGGTGTGGGCGTTGCCTATAGGCCCGGCCTGGCAGGGTTATGTGGGAAGCTGCTAGGAGGCTGTAGGAGGCACACAGGAGTCATCCTGCAGCCACTGTCCAGCAACTCCACTAAGACACCAAATCAGCTGAGGTCATGGGTACAGCCCAAAGAATTGGACAGACCTAGCTTTAATCCTGCCTCAGGACTCTGGTGGCCAACCTGGGGCCTTAGTTTCCTCATCCAGAGCATGGGACAACCCTTCTCAGGGCTAGGAAGAAAGCCGTAGGATGGCCTCCAGAGACACTAGGGCTATGCTGTGCGTCCCTGGGCAGGCCCTAAACCTCTCTGAGCCTCAGTTGCTCATTCATTTCACACCTCAACAGGTGTATAAGGATCAGGTTTGAACCACTCCTGGCACTCCAACAGTGCCCATTAGAGTTAGCTGGTGTGATTATCATTTCCGTGGGCAGTGGTACCTCCAGCTCCCACCCTCCAACCTTTAAGGTCATGTAGAAGAACACAGATCCAAACTTTATTTTTTAAATAGTTCTCTCTACCCAGAATGTGCACACAGCCTGCTCTAGCCAGATAACAGACATAAATTAAGATTACTGAGTGTCCCCAGGCAGGACATGAGCTGGCCTGGCCTCTCAGTCCCAGCCGAAGTCCTGGCCGGTCATCTGATAGAACTTGTGGTTGAAGGGCCTATAGAAATCCCGCAGGCGCTGGACCAAAGCCTCGGGCACTCGGGGGTGGGGCCGACCCTTGGACTTGCCCAAGCAGCGGGGATGGCTGCTCCCCTGGGCCTTCTTGAGGCAAGGGAACCCTTTGGTGGCATTGAAGTAGAAGTGCTTGTCTGTGACAACCCGTTTGAGGCCCAGAAAATCCTGCACGCGGCCAACCTCTCCAGCTGGGTCACTGACCAGGCGCTCGCCACTGACAAACAGGAAGTGCGACAGGGGAAAGTAACGCAGCCAGTTGTCCAGGTGCTGAGCGTAGAGGCCGATGCGCACAGCACTCCAGGCTGTGTCCACTGGGCCCAGGCCGTGGCGGAAGGCCAGGGCACGGAAGCTGGGCAGGCCTGGGGTCTTGGACAGCGTCTGCGCATAGTCAGAGATGGCCCGAGTCACGGGGTTCCGCACTACCACGATCAGCTTCATGTCTGGGGACATGCCATGGATGCGGCGAGGAGCCTCACGAGTCACAAAGTAGCTGGGGGTCTTCTCCATGGTGATCTGTCCGTCCAGGGTACGTGGCATCAGGCTCCTGTGGGACAGATAGGAGGAGAGGTGGGCATGAGCCAATGCTAGTGCCCTCAAGCCCTCCATATAGACCAGCCCCAAGGATAGGAGACTCACCTACACTTCCCAAGGAAGCTCCAAACCTCCAAGGTAGGCAAGCCGCCCAGACCGGACCCACCCTTCCTCAAATGTTAGGGTAAGCAGCCTGGAATGTGGACTATGAGAGCACCCAGCCCCAGCACAGGCCAGCAGTGGGTCCCTTCACACCGGGCTGCCCACCCTAGCTAGACTGTATCCCAATCCTGACTCTGCTATGCCTCCCACCCCAGAACAAGCCCCGTGAGGCCAGTGGCTTAAACTTGCTGTTCACAGGGCTCTACCCACCCTCCCTAACCCTCAGGCCCCGGCACTGTAATTACCCCAGGTCACACTTTCATTAACGGGCAGATGCATCCCCTAAATTAGGTCATTAATTATTGATAAGTATCTCAAGAAGGGCAGCCACCCTTCTTCTCACTGTCTCCCAAGCATAGCCTCCCTGCCCCCACCCTTTGATTACAGCTAATTCTCACTCACCGAATGCCAAAAGTCCCCAGCACAGCCCAGCACATTGGAGAACAGTAAGGTGGCCTGGGAACCCACCCCAAGACTCTAGCCCACCAGGGCCTCCCAGACCTGGCTCAGACCCCAGAGTGCAAGGCTGTGACTGCAGCATTTCTGATGATTTTTCTCATTCTGACCACTGGGAGAACACTGACCCCATCCCAACATTCTGAGAGAGTTGGCTGATGACAGCCCCATGACTGCCCCAAACTTGGAGAAGCCCCTCCTGAACACCTGAATGGGGCAGTGCTTAAGTACCCTGAGCACTGTCCTGAGACCAAGCCTCACCTGCCAGCCAGGCTGTACAGGGCAAGGTGGGGCAGCGCACTGCAGGGCCAGCTGAGCAAACAACTCAGAGGGAGGGTTAAAGGGAGGGTTGAGAACTAGGTCAATGGAGGCAGAGGCTGTGGGATCTGTGCTAGGAAGGAGCGGTCTCTGCCTGAGGCCTTGCCCTGCCTTCAGTCCTCTGAGGTTACTCCTCATCCCCCCCCACCCCGCCTCCACTGGCAGCCTCCAGGTCTGTCCCCTGGCCTCCACCAGGAGGGTAATTAATAGGGGAAAGTTCAGGTTTCATACAGTCTAAGGGACCCCCAGACTCAATCCCCTGGGAGGCAGGGCCCCAATCCTCTTTCTGCTCAGGCCCCCAATGAAACTCAAGCCTAGTGAACACACAGGTGAGCAGACCCACACACTAGGGTGCCTGGCTTGGAGGATATGGCGGGGGCGGGGGGGGTGAGTCCTTGGCATGGCGGGGGTGGGGGATGAGTCCCATAAATCACCCATGGCTTATGGGGAGATGGGTAGGCTGCATGGTCTTCTGGCTCTGGAAGCTTCCCCCACTCCTCAAAACAAGGCTGTGGGCAGAGCTGGTCTACAGGTGTCATGGAAGACAATTTCATTTCCCCATCATGGTGACAGATGGAGCTAGAACCTCCCTCCACCTCACTCACAGCCTCATTTCATTGACAGGAACACAGAGAGAAGGTGAGATGTTTGGGAAATGGGGATGGACACTGGCCTGTACCCCTCCCACCCTTGTACTGTATCTGCTAGAAGGAGGGTGTCAGCTTGGCCTCTGCTCCCAGACCCCCCTGCATCCACACCCTGCTTCGTGCCCTGGGAATCCAAGTGAGAACAGCACCCAGCCCTCCTGGGATAAGTTCAGTAAGACCAGGAGTAAGGGGGTGGGGTAAGTGACAATGCCAAGGGCAGAAGCCAGGACTGCAGCCTGCAGCGATCAGCTCAGGGGACCTTCCCTTTTCCCTGAGAGGGAGTCAGAAAAAGGGGAGTCTCCCCCACTGAACCTCACGGCTGAGACCCACAAAGAGAAGCCTGTGCCAGGACAGACAGCCTGCCAGGTGTATCAGAAGTCACTGTCCCTCCCTTCATTGCCCTCCTCAGGAAAGAAACCAGCACTGATTACTCTCGGACCCTCCTCTCCCATCTTTGACACCCCTTTCCCATCCCTTTCTTTCCCCAGGCACCAAATGACCCCAGGAGCACACCATCTTTACCCTCCCAGACTGGGCACTTTGAGTTGTGAACATCCTACACACACACAAAATGCTTCTGCCTGGGGGAAGGGAGCTGCAAGGGAGAACCAGAAGTCAGAGAAGCAGAAGGGGGGAGGTGCCTCCTGAACCCAGTCGTGGAAGGGGGATGGATATGGGGAGGAGACACAGACTTTCTAGGCCCACTCTTACAACAAACCAACTTTGAGATCTGAGATCTTTGGGATCAATTATTTATCCTCCCCGGCCCTCAGCAGACTGTCCTGCCAGGGCACAGAAGAGGATGGGGATGGGGATTTGGGGGGATGAGAGAAACAGGACTCTGACCTCCGTACAGCAAACATCTGACAAATTGTTCCCCAGACCCTCCCTCCCTGCTCATCTGGTCTGCATTTCCCTGCGGCTTCCATCCAGCCCCTGGCCACTCTCCCTCGTCTGTCTCATCTTCATGTCCCACACCTCCCCTGAGCTCCATCCAGCCCAGCCTGGGACCGAGCAGAAATCAGTTAGGGTTCCTGTGTGAAACCATAGGGTGCTGAGGGTGGGGCATTTGTCCCAGTTGCAGGAGCCTCTACCCTAACACAGGGAGAATGGACCCACAGAAGCCGGGGTCCCTCTCCACACCTACTCAGACTCCTACTCCCTGTGTTAGCCCCAAGGAGTTTCCACAACTGCACCCCTCCTGTCTCCCCTCATTTTTCCCAAATACTATGGCCAAAGTACAGCCCCACCTGCCCCCAGACAGGGCAGCCCTCCTGATGAGACCTTGGGGTGCGTGTACAGGGGACCCCAAAATCTACTAAACAGAAGATGCTCAGTGAGTGAGTGAATAGATGAGCAAAGGCTGACTGAGTGTGGGAGTACTTGGGGGTCACAGTTCCCAAGTTGGAGGACCCTCAAGAATCTGAGGGGTGGGCTAACTGAAGTCCAGGGAAGGGGAAAGGTTTGGGCAAGGTCGACATTGGGCAGCCTCAGGATCTACCTGCTGAGGCCACAGGAAGGGCCAGTGTCACCTCCTGGAATGAGATCTGTCACAGTCCAGTGGGGGCAGGTGTCCCAGAAACTCGACTGAGGGCAGTGGCCACTCCTTCCCTACTCACTGCCCCAAGCCCCCCCACCCGCCCCACACACACACCCAGAACAGGGCTCTGTACTTGGGGGAGGATTAGCCAGCATCCCGAGAGCAGACAACGCTACCAGACTGTGCCCAGGGGCTAGGCACCCTCTTTGCAGCTGGGGAAACTGAGGCAAGGGTGGACATTTTCAGAGCTCACCGCACGCTCAGAGTAGGTTGAAGGACAGACAGATTTAGAGACACAGGACACCTGTGAGAACACCAAGTCCACATTTGCACACGTCAGGACATGGCCACTGTCAAATGCACTCCAGAAGCTCAGCCAGACTGGCTCCCACTAGCTCTGCACAAGCCAGTAAGGGGTAGGGGTTAGCCAGCCTCACCTCAGGGACAGCTGTGGATTAATGGGGTGAGACCACCAGGACCTAACCCTCTATATCCTCTGTACCCACCCCTCCCCCCAGTGGAGGTGGTTCTGAAAATGAGGAAGGAGAAGGTCTCTTCTCCACCAAAGTTAAATACGCTCCTGAATCCCCTGGCTCCCATCTTGGGTGCTCCAGTGTCCCAAGAACCCCTCCCCAGAGCTAAGGATCTGACTGTCAGTCTAGGTCTGGTGCCTGCTGCCTCTCAGGCCCTTTGTCCTCCCAGACTTGTCCCTCAGAACTGGGGCATATGCCCAGGGCAGCCTGGAAGGGGTCTCAGGATCCCCAGCTCTTCGAGAATCTTTTTAGGGCTAAAACCGGTTCTAACCTTCCCTGAAGCCATTCATTAGCCCAGCACAGTGTCTCCCTCCAGCTCTTTGTAGTCAAAACTCTTGGGATAGATCACTGTGGGCTGTGAAGTTTGCATTACAGTTAACAGTGTGTCCGCCACCCTCCCGTCCCTTTCTCCCCACTTCCTCCTCCTTCTTGCCCCATCCACTTCCCCCTCTGTCCTCTCCACCTCATGGAGAGATTGGAAATGCTTTAGGATGCCAGTGACACTGTCAGAGTGGGCAGTGAGCGGTCTCACTGAGCTCTGAAGATGCCAAGATTCAGCCAGTTGGGCCCATGAATGGACCAGCTCTCCCGCATCACCATCCAAATTCCCTAGGAACCCCCAACAGCAGCAACCCTTCAGAGCTCAGGAGCCAGGACCCCTGTTCTCACTGGGGATCCTCCCAACCCATGAGTGGTTTTAATGAAAAAGACAAAGATAGCAAATGGGGGTGGGGGTGAGGAATCTAGAAACAGAAACCGTGCACCTGGAAGTCAAGAGTCTGGGTCCTGCCACTCCCCTCGCCACCCCCCCAAACCTCCACCCTCTCACACTCCCCACGCTCTCCCCACACACACACACACACACACACACACACACACCCGCCACTACCCACTAATTCACC